GTGCCCTTATACAAAATATGTGGGCTGGACTTCTACCACTTGCAGCCAAAGATGCAAGAAGACAGCTAATTAATAAGAAAGCTGTATTCAAGGAAAAGTTTGATCCACCAGAAATAGATTTCTTTCTCTATTTAAAAAAAAGAGAGGGAGAAGAGAAAGGAGAGTTGTTTGCCAAATTTATTCAGACATTTTTTCTTGCTCAACAACATTATTTTAAAATATTGCGTTTCCGCCCATTGGTTAGGTCTCCAGGATGTCTTAGAATAAGTTAATAGGACAGTAATTTAACAAAACTATTTTTCCCTCTAGCTTGGTACTACAGTCTTTGTCTGGCATTGAGCTTTAGGCAAGTTCCTTCATAGCCTTACCTGGAGATGTTGGGGCTTGAATTTGGGATTTTTCTGTATCACGGAACAAGAGCTCCTTTTCAGTACTGCACTGAGTATTCCTGTATAAGTGCCAACTATGACTGACCTTGTTTACATTCTGAAATCAGAAGAAATCATGATGAGAATTTTACATGGCGCAGGAAAATTGATTGCGGCAGGATTTTTTGTTGGTTTAGACAGGATACCGTCCTGCTTGCTTTACCAGATCAACAAATGCTTGAAAAGACTTGAGTGAATTTCATTGCCAGCTGTAGCTCAGTTGGGGAACAACTGTTTTCTGTACACAACTATCATATCAGGAGGGGTTTTTTTGGACTGTATTTTAAAAAGTAGTGAACTGATTTGTATTTCCTGGGGCAATGCATGGATCATTTTCCTTTGAATTTTGCCTTCCTACTGAAATTTAGACAAAGTTCTTGGCTCAAATGAGTACCCAGTGTGCAAAACAATGTGTCTTAGGCTACACTGCATATAAAATCTACGATAAATACAAACATAATTTTTGAAACCCATTGTCCAGATACAATGTGATCTTCATTTTTTTTATTTTTTTTTTTTGTAAATCATAGATTGATGGTGTGCAAAACAATGTGTCTTAGGCTACACTGCATATAAAATCTACGATAAATACAAACATAATTTTTGAAACCCATTGTCCAGATACAATGTGATCTTCATTTTTTTTATTTTTTTTTTTGGTAAATCATAGATTGATGCAAAGAAAAGTCAGAATGGATTTAGGAATTCTTATCTGATACATTTACTCACTGCCTCCCATTTAATATAGAGTTTATTCCATAAAATATTCCACACACTGTGCAAGTAAAACCCACAATGAAAAAAAATGATATACTATAATTTTATTTATTTATTTATTTATTGCATTTATATGCCGCCCATCTAGACATAGTCTACTCTCATTTTCATGGTCTGGAAATAGGCTGATTATTTATTTACATGTATTAGATCTCATCCATAGCTTTTCAGCTAAACGAGGTCTTGTGAGACCCAGGAAGATCATTATCAGAGGAAGTAGAAACACAGCTTGAAAAATTACTTTTGTGGACTACTAGTTTCAGCCATGTTGGGTGAGAGATGCTGAGGGTTTTAGTAAAAATAAATAAATAAAACATTCCATTTTCTGAATAGAAAATGCTGATTTTGTTGAACCAATGTGTTGACAGATGGCATTATGTACTTTTATGTGTAGTTGTAATACTAAGAATATGTGGTGTTTTGTTTTTGTGTGACTTCCTGCAGCAGTAAAACATGTATTCTCCTAAACCTTCCTGAAGAAACAAAAGGAGGGGAGCAAGAAATTTGTCTGCAGTATAGAGAAAGTCCATTATTGACAAGTAAGGCAGTCTTTTCTTGGGAGGAAATTGCAAATCTGGGCACACTGAACCACTGGGCACTAGTAAATTGGGTGGCACTAGTAGCAGAGTACAAATACTAGTAAATCTAGTGAAACTGAGATCTAGATCTGGGCACAGCCAACAAAAAGATCCACATCTTCTTTATCTCAACTAGATGGAGTAGTTGAGACACACAAGAGGGACCCTGATGACAATCTTATTAAAGCAAGTATGCTCGTTTGAAGAGAGGCAGTCCTTCACTGTCTATCCTTTAGTAAAAGATTCACACTCTTCTCCTAAAAGACACACACACATCTTGATTGTGTCGCATGTGCAGTTTTTAAAGGTGTCTATTATGCAGTTACTTCAAGCCATCAATTTCTGTAACCTCTGCTGTGTTGTATTAATTGTATTGCCAACACCTTTATTGGTGAATTAAATATGCCTGTGGACTAGGACTAGTTTATTAGATTTTACTGGGAATGTTCATCCTTGTAATACGTAGGTCTAATAATCTGACTGTATACTCCGACTGAAGGCAAAGAATCTCTCTTGCCCACATGCTTCTTAGTTAATGTGAACTATTTCAACATCTTTCTTCTTCAGCCTCTACAAATAAGAGAGGGGCTAGGCCAAAGACGGGGAACCTAATAACCTTAATGCCCAGCCCTCTGTCTGCCAATAGCCTGCAGGAAGAGTACCCTGTGTTTAGGAGATTTTCTTCTCCGGAGCAGATCTGGAGAAATGAAGAGGAACAGAAAATGAATGTAAGTAAAACTCAAAGGCCAGATTCCTATAAAGATTTTTGTCAGTGACCACAAAGAATGAACGTGTTACAATCATTCTGAACATCAAAGGAGAAAAAACTTGTGGCTTTCCTGATGTCATTGCATGAATGCCCATCAGCTACAGCCAGCACGGCCAGTGAGAGCATCCTGGTCCCCCTGTCCTAAAGGCTGAGAAGAATTTTTTTTAAAACTCATGCTTAAACTTGCCAGCCAGTAGTATATAATTGAAGTTGTATTTAAACATCTTCAAAGAAAGTGCTTATGGAGAGCTGGTGTAAGCATGCATATTTAACGAGGCCACAATATATTCACTTCAGTGCTGCAAGGTCAGAAGACCAGCAGTCGTAAGATCGAATCCACATGACGGAGTGAGCTCCCGTCGCTTGTCCCAACTCTTGTCAATCTAGTAGTTCAAAAGCATGTAAAAATGCACGGTGGGAAGGTAACGGCATTCCGTGTCTAGTTGCGCTGGCCACGTGACCACGGAAACTGTCTTCGGACAAATGCTGGCTCTACGGCTTGGAGACGGGGATGAGCACCGTGCCCTAGAGTTGGACACAACTGGACTAAATGTCAAGGGGAACCTTTACCTAGAGCACATGCTGATAAGATTCCTGGTTCAGAATCTGACATTTCTGGTAAAACGATCTTGGGTATCAAAGGGCTTCCTCTGTCTGAATCACTGGAGAGCTGCTAGTACTGCTATACTAGGGCTGAGTTAATACAACATCTCTTTTATGATCTGCTTTCCTTTTAAACTAGCACTCACCAGTAGCAGTTACCTAGGATGTTTGGTGATTGAGAACAGAGCTGGAAATGTTCTTAGTACATGTGTTCCCAGATCTGTGCTTGTTGGGGACATTTATCAAGGAAAATTGTTGAGAGAAGGGAAAGGGGTGCTTAATTCCTTCTATTATCCTCTTGGATATACACCTTAATCTGATGAGGGAGTTTTAGTGTGTCAGTGAAGTTGAGAGAAACACCATAAGGAGGTTAGACTCCCAGCAAGGTTATTCAAGGTGGAATGGTCAAATATTCAGAGTTGAATCAATGGAAGAGAATAGATCATTCCAATGGAGCAGAAATTCCCACGAGGGCATCCATACATCTTGAGAAAATGGTTTATAAGCAGACTCGTTCCATAGACCCTTAACAAAGGGGTTTGTGTCCTCTAAGTCCAAAGAGTCCAAACCTGGGTTGATCAAGGGAAGGGTCTCCTCATCTCTCCCTTCCAGGTTGAAAGGATCTTCTCTCCCTGAGGTGGGAGCCCACGGTCCGGCCAGAACCCTCTCTGGCAAGCCTCCTCCAGCCTCCATGCTCTCCTCTCATGTTCTTCTCTCTCCACCGCTTCTTTCTCCCCGTAGTCTCCGTCGTCACTCCCGGGCTTCGAATTCCCCCCAGTATGATGGCCGAGGAGGCAAGCCTCTCCTCCGGCAATAGTCTGCCTCTTTCCAAGGTACCCAGACCTTTTTACATTTCCCGGTCCATGGATCTTCGATCCATATCAACTCCCAAACCACCACCACCCCGGTATGTCATCTCTCTTTCCTTTTATATCCCCATTTCTCACCTCCACCAACAGCCTGCCCCTTTCTTCTGTTCCCACCTTTTCAGTCCCGGTTTGAGTGGATACCGACATTTTTGTCAACCCCTGTTCTAGGTCCCGGGTGTCTACTCCCTGTTGTACTGTCACGACGCATGAGGCTGGTGAGTCTGTCTGTACAGCATAGTCCTGGAGCATATCCAAAGTGTATTTCCCTCAGAATAGCATAGCAGCATAGCATCTGGGCATATTGTCTCCTAAAAGTAAACCATCCTGAAGCAATTTGTTGAGCCCCATATATCCCAGTTCCACAATCTTCTATGCCAACAGCAAATAGGACTTTGTTCTTTCCAAAATCTTTGGCATGACAAGATCTCTTTCTCACTCACTCCCAACACACAGCTGAAATCATTAAGCTTTACATTCCATTGTCTTCATTAGGGAATAAGAATGGTTAAGCTAGATATTTTCCCTTTTATCAGGAATGCCTGGCTGTTTTATATCTGTAGCTCTGTAGTCTTCATTACTCTGTGAAAAAACAGGCAGTGGCGTTATACCACCTACAAAGGTGAAGCATAGCGTGATTGCAATTTTGGGACTCAAGAGATCTAGTTTGTGTAATGTTAGCTGTGGAAGGACTCCCTAGAGCTGTGATGGCAAACCTTTTTGAGCCCGAGTGCCCAAACTGTAACACAAAACCATATTATTTCTTTCAAAGTGCCAACACTGCAATTAAACCTGACTACTGAGGTTTTAATGTATTCGCAAAGGCTTTCACAGCCGGGATCTAATGGTTGTTGTGGGTTTTTCGGGCTCTTTGGCCATGTTTTGAAGGTTGTTCTTCCTAACGTTTTGCCAGTCTCTGTGGCCGGCATCTTCAGAGGACAGCATTGAGCACCCACAACAACTACTGAGGTTTTAGTTTAGAAAAAACAACTCGTACAGTTGTCTGAACTAATCAACACATTTTCTCTTAAAATAAATACACAATAACAGAGATTTCAATGATACAAACATTTTTAATTGAAAAAACCCATCAGCTCTATTAAATGGAAAAAATTATTAAAGTAATACATTGTACACATGGCCAGGTAATTTATACAAATGTTTAAAATAATTATGTGCATGTATTTTTGGATAAGAGATGCTCAACTTGTAATATGATTATATGATTTATTTATTATATTTGTACCCCGCCCCTCTAGACTGTGTCTACTCGGGGCGGCTTACAAATAAAAGACAACAATATCACATAAATAACATTTAAAAATTACAATTAAAATTACAATTATAACAGTTAATTTTGACCAAGACATTACCAAGATGGCATACCATAAGGGAAAAAGAAAGAGGTAAGGATGAAAATCACTTAATTGACTGGAGGGAAGGCCTGCTTGAATAGCCAAGTTTTTAACTGACTTTTAAAAACACCCAGCGAGGGTGCCAGCCGAATTTCGGTTGGAAGGGTGTTCCACAGCCGAGGGGCCACCGCTGTCCCCTAGTCAGCTCCCTGGTTTTGCTGGTTGAGATCCATTCCTAAGGCTTTCAGATCCCACTTGCACATATCCTTGTATCGCAGCTGTGGTCTGCCTCTGGGGCAGACCACAGCTGCCCCAGAGGAGCAGGAGATCTTTTGGAATCCGACCGTCAGCCATTCTCACAACATGCCCAAGCCAATGTAGATATCACTGTTTCAGTAATGTATACATGCTAAAATTAAAAAAAAAATCTCTACTTCTGCTTCATTGACTACACAAAAGCTTTTGACTGTGTGGACCACAGCAAACTATGGCGAGTTTTTAAAGAAATGGGAGTGCCTGATCACCTTATCTATCTCCTGAGAAATCTATATGTGCGACAGGAAGCAACAGTTAGAACTGGATATGGAACAACTGATTGGTTCAGAACTGGAAAGGAGTACAACAAGGCTGTATATAGTCTCCTTGCTTATTTATATGCAGAATACATCATGTGAAAGGCTGGACTGGAGGAATTCCAAGCTTGCTAGAAGAAATATCAACAACATATGCAGATGATACCACTCATTAAAGAACCTCTTAATGAGGGTGAAAGAGGTGAGCGCAAAAAATGGCATGAAGCACAGCATCTAAAAAACTAAGATCATGGCCACTGGTCCCATCATCTCCCGGCAAATAGAAGGGGAAGATATGGAGGCAATGACAGATTTTAGTTTCTTGGGCTCCATGAACACTGCAGATGGTGACAGCAGCCATGAAATTAAAAGAAGCTTGCTTCTTGGGAGGAAAGCGATGACAAACCTCGACAGCATCTTAAAAAGCAGAGACCTCACCTTGCTGATAAAGGTCCGCTTAGTCAAAGCTATGGTTTTTGCGGTAGCCATGTATGGAAGTGAGAGCTTCTATAAAGAAGGCTGACTGCCGAAGAATTGATGGTTTTGAATTGTCGTGCTGGAGGACGCTCTTGAGAATCCCCTGGAGTGCAAGGAGAACAAACCTATCAACTCTGAAGGAAATCAACCCTGAGTGCTCTTTGGAAGGACAGATCCTGAAGCTGAGGCTCCAAAACTTTGGCCATCTCATGAGAAGAGAAGACTCCTTGGAAAAGACATTGATGTTGGGAAAGTGTGAAGGCAAGAGGAAAAGGGGATGACAGAGGACGAGATGGTTGGACAATGTCCTTGAAGCTACCAAAATGAATTTGACCCAACTCCGGGAAGCAGTGGAAGACAGGAGGGCCTGGCATGCTCTGCTCTATGGGGTCATGAAGAGTCGGACATGACTTTACGACTAAAGAACAAATACATGCTAAAAATTCCAGCTTGTTCCAGGACTACACTATTTGGAACTGTGTCCTGCCAGGTGATACCAAAAATGCATCTGAGACAGCGCATATAGAACATGTTCAGCTTCCTCTCCTGTCATGCACAACGGGTCCAGGACTCACTGCAGTACAGGAGTGTGCTCAGGACACAGGCTCTATAGACCTGGTTCTTGGTATATGCTGTCAGCTTCTTATTGAGCCATACTCTCTTTGTGAGTCGAGAGAACATAGTAGCTGTTTTGCCAATGTGTTTATCCAGCTCGACATCTAGGAAGAGAGTGTCAGAGAGCGTTGAGCCAAGGTACACAAAGTCATGGACAACCTCCTTGCATGGAGATGGTAATAGAGGGAGGTGAGTCCATGCCCTGGCCCATGACTTGCGTTTTCTTCAGGCTGATTGTTAATCGAAAGTCTTGGTAGGCCTTGCTAAAGCGTGCACGCGTGCTAACAAGACTGAATTTCATAAAACCATGAAAAAGAAACCTTCCAAAGTGTGTGTGTGTGTGTGTGTGTGTGTGAGAGAGAGAGAGAGAGAGAGACAGACAGACTCTTTCATAAAACCACAAAAAAAGGAACCTTCCAAAGTGTTTGTGTGTGTAAGAGAGAGCGAGTGACTCATAAAACCACGAAAAAGGAACCTTCCAAAGTATATGTGTGTGAGAGAGAGAGTGAGTAAGACTCTTTTGTAAAACCACAACAAACATTCCAAAGTGTGTGTGTGTGAGAGTGAGTGAGTGAGTAAAAGGAACATTCCGAAGTGTGTGTGTGAGAGTGAGTGAGTGAGTGAGACTCTTTCATAAAACCACAAAAAAGGAACCTTCCAAAGTTTCCTTTGACTGCAACACCAAACAAAAGGTCTTACAAACAAAAGACTGTGGCTTTCTTTATTGAGTTAATCCATCTCATGTGCAGTCTTCCTCTTTTGCCTCTGCATTGCACCTTTTCTAGTGAGCTTGTCTTCTCATGATGCCACTGTAGTACAATAACTTTATTTGATTATTTTAGCTTCTAGTGAGAGTCCACACTTAATTTGTGTTACTTATATTTCTGATAAGTCCTGATATCTATAAAACTCTTTTCCAACACTACATTTCACATGTGAGGTTGCAAACAAAACTTCAGCAGTATTGTCCTGCAAGGATTGGATGTCTAATACTAGGGTCCCTGATAAATATTAATAGTATAGTGTTGCTTGGTATGTTTATTTTTTGTTTACTGTTTTCATAAAAATTTGGAGGGAGGGCCTAGCTTTCTTTTGTTCACACAATGATGAAAGAGTCTGAAGAGAAGTTTCTGCTTGCATGTAGTCTGCATGTTAGCAGCAGTTGAGATTTTCCAGGACTCTTGCTTATGCATTGAGTCTGTATGTGAGCAGAACCTTTACCTCAGACTTGGTCATTATTGTGAATAAAATAACAAAGGAAGAAGTAAGGCTTTGGTGAAATCAGGAATTCTAGGGTGTATGTGTGCTCTTTCTGCCAGGGAGTAAGGCTTTATCCCTGGGAAATTGACACACGTGGTGTCAGTGAGAGACACTGGTCATTCTGAGATTGCTAACTGTATTTATTCCTGGGAAAACATAGTCTGCTGAGGCTTAGTAAGTGCCCGCCATATGCTATCATCTTCTCTATTTCTGCGTCAAAGTATGTTCTGGCACCTTGGGACATGAGAAGGAGAAAGTGACAACGAAGGATGCTTTTTGAATGTCATTCTACCTTTCTGAAAGCAACTGGCATACTTTCAAAAGTTTCGCAGCAAGGTTTTGCAGCAAACCTGAGAGCCTGTGGTGCTGCTGTTGTGATGCCTTCCAATGACACAATTTGTGTTAGGAGAACTATGCGATGCAACATCACGTTTAGCATGATTACAAGTGATATGGAAACACAGGCCATGTTATAGATTTCTTTTCCTGGATAATCATAGTTTGTTGATGGTGTTTATCATTCTTGTGATAGGTCTTAATACAGGCTACAGGAGGGTTTATGTTAGACTGTTTGAAGAATACTTCAATGCTTAATTATCTGTGACACCAAAACAACCTGTGCTTTTTATTTCTGACTGCTTTCTGCAAAATCCTCTCTGGCAATTATAACATACACCAAATGACTGTTTTGCTTAATTTCTTATTTTTGCAGATCTCCAGCTCCTCTTACAAATATAAGAACGAAGAATTCAAGAGGCAGTTCTCACATCTGCCAGATTTAGAAAGGCTCGTTGTAGGTAAGAAGTTATATTCCAGTTAAGGTGTGGTCTCCGTTGAAATCCTTAGAATGGCAAGATTCATTTTTATGTTGAAAATTTGAATTTTCAGGAGCAGAAATTTGTAAATAAAATGGCAAAATTGCAACATTACTAGAATGAAGTTTAATTTTGTTCTTTTTAAGCTGTCTATTATTTTTCCACTTCTGTGATTTAATAACATCCAGCTGTTTTTCAAATGTTTGACAGTGTCTTAGGTGATTGTGGATAAAAATTTAGTGCTGCCGCATACTGTATTTACGTAACAATGTGCTGAAAATAGCTGTGAGTAGGACCATTGTGAAATGTTTCTGACAATGACTGAAATCCTGTTGCTTAGTTATGCAAATAGCATAACTTTTAGAGGTGAATTATTGTAAGTTAAGAAATCGCCATAGTCATTATATGTTGCATACTGAGTCACATGACTCGGTGTGCAATAGATAATGTGTACAGAGATTTCTTCACTTACGACACTTATGACAATTTGTACATAAAAGTTATGCTATTTGTGCACTGCACAACAGGATTTCAGCCAATAAATTTTTAAGGCTGACTTATTTTTAACTCAAGGGACATGGTGGCGCTGTGGGTTAAACCACAGAAGCCTCTGTGCTGCAAGGTCAGAAGACCAGCAGTGGTAAGATTGAATCCACGCGACGGAGTGAGCTCCCATCACTTGTCCCAGCTCCTGCCAACCTAGCAGTTCAAAAGTATGCAAATGCAAGTAGATAAATAGATACCACCATGGTGGGAAGGTAACGGCATTCCGTGTTTAGCCGTGCTGGCCACGTGACCACGGAAACTGTCTATGGACAAAAACACTAGTGAATTTGAAGAATGAAAACAGATGGATTAACAATGTATTGCATCAAATACAAACTTTGCTAGTCCAGGAGAATGCAAACTTACCATTTTCTGTTCATTTCAATCTATGCTAATCTGACATTACATTATCTAGTACATTATATACTAGAGCAGTTCTGGTCATTATCCACCAACATGTGGCAGGGAGTCAAGGCTGAGGCAGGTGATTAAAAGTGGAGAAACCCTTTTTTTAAAAAACTGGGAAGAGAGCCACATCAAATGCTTAGTTTGGAAAGAGAGTGAAAACCCCATATCTACATAAAGCTATGCCATCTGGCCTGGAAATGTTCACTCCTACTCCTTCCGTTTATGTCGGTTTGCAGTGCTTATTCCTCAGTGAGTGAGAAACTGTAGGTGTAGAGAAACAGGGTGAAATCTGTTTCACTCCCAGATTGTATATTAGTTGAAGGTAGGGTAGGGGGCTACAATTCAGTCAAACCTCCTTTCCCTTGAAATTCTTCCTTCCAGCTGTTAGTTTTTCCTCTGGGAGCAAAACTGCCATTTAGGTCAATGTTAGTTTTCTTCCTGTGGGAAAGCATGAGCTTCAGGTATGAAAATGGCTTTTACTGGAACACTGTGTGTTGAGAGGATTAAGTTGCCCCAGTCCATTTTGCCTTTCTCTTTATTCTCCCTTTGTGTTGAATATGGGAAAATTCACCTATGTTATTGCACATTTAGCTTTATACGTATGCCTTTTGGCCCTTGATGTTTAACATATTGAAAAACTGGTCCATGGTGAAGAGATGAGCTAGGGATGGTCACTAGTTTCTTGTCAGTTGGAGCTATGCTCAGCCATTTTCTGCTACAAACATGCAGAAGACGCTTCTCCTAAATGTAGTTGTAAACAGAGAAAAATTGGCATCTTGATAACATTGATCAAGATTGTGTTTCTATGGTAGATTTTCCATTAAGAATTATGTACTGTACTGTATATCTGTAGACATCCAGATTGTAAACTGGGGCTGTGAAACTTATGACAACCATACATATACTGCTGGGCTGAAGCTTCATCCACTGTAGACCACATAGCCAATGATCAGGGATCATGGAAGTTGCAGGCTTGCAGCCCCTACAGGATACGTGTGGCTTACTCCTGCTTTAAGCAGACTGTTGCATGTATAGCAAAAATTATGTGTCATTATTTTTAAAAACACCAGGATCAAATGTATATCTTAAAATACATGCAAATGAGCAAGTTTATTTTCTAGCAAGAGATGCCTTTCTCTCAATCTGTTTTTGTCCCAGTTTAAAGGCTTGCTGAGGAATAAGTACAGGCTGATTTCCTGCACATATTAAAACAGTTGCACACTTGGAAAAATTAGGGTCCGAAGCTGTTCTGAAATTAAATTGTTGCTGTCATCCCTGTGACAAATGAAAGAAATCAATGTTATCAATTATCTACAAAATACTTTATAATTTTAATCTCAAAGGGAACATGGCGTCTCTACATGTCTGATGTGACTTGACAACAGATAGCATAACATAAAAACTGCATTTGTAAGACAAACATACAGTAATGGTTTCCTTGTTCAGATTATGCCTGTGCCCTCCAGAAGGATATCCTTCTTCAAGGACGACTGTATCTCTCTGAAAACTGGCTTTGTTTCTACAGCAACATCTTCCGATGGGAGACCACAGTAAGGCGTGTGTGTGCATGTGTGGTTGTCCATGTGATGGTTTTTCTAAAAAGATTTCTGCTTCACCTTTTGTTTCTTGGGATGTTGTTTGAATTTTCTAGTACAAAAGAGGTTTAATAATAAAATGGGGATTTATTTTCTGTCACTAATTATGAATCACCTGGAGTGATTTTCTTTGTCTAGCAAAATCAGAGTGGAGATTCGGGTAGGATTTCTTGGTGTGATTTGTTGAAACTGTCTGCTCAGTTTTGGATAGGGTTTACTCTCAGTAATTTCAGACTTCTGTATTGTATGTGATCATGATTCTGTGCTGCTTGCTTTTCCCCCTTTTCCTTTCTTGTTGAGAATGGTGTTTCCTTTGTGACATTATAGAAAGTTTGAGACAAAAACAGTTAATCCAAGTCATGAGAACTAGGATACTTGAGTTAATATTCCAAGTTGTTTGATGGTAGGTAGACTTCAGAAATAAAAACATATCAATGTTGTTTAACTGTTGACAAATATATTTGTTTTAGAACAGGTTTCTTTTAATCATTTTATAATCAAAATAACTGCTATGAAAGTACAGGGGTATAATATTTTATTGCCTCAGACACAAATCAAGCAGTTTGAGCTCTGCTAAACAATTACCACTAAACATGTTTCTACCTAGCTTTTTTAAAAATGAAAGATATTTTTATATATAGACATTATATAGAGAGACATATATAATGAAATATACGTAATAATAGTTTGCAAAGAATTTGGAAGTCCTTCAAGTAAATGCTACTTAGGAAATCTCAGGTGGTCTTAAAATAAATAAACCTAAAATTACAGCATCATGGTGTTATACTATTGTTCTTTTCTCATTAAAAATAGCTTGAAGAATGTTTCTATGGTACCTAAAAGAAATATTTAAAGGGGGGCATAAAATGGCACCCAACACAAAGGCTATAAATAATAAATCTATATTGAAATCCATCCACAACAGTTATATTAAGCCCACTAGTGTGGATATAGCAGGATTTTTAAAAAGTGAAAGCACAGTCCTTGTGGTGCTGGGAAAGTCTATTTCAGTCCCTAATTAATTATTACAACAACAGAAGAGCACTGACTGGATAAAGCAAGGAAAAACCTCTCCCTTCTATCTAGCTTAATAATTAAGTAAAGTAAAAGGAAAGCTCTTTTTAAAATAGAGATTTTTTTTCAGGACCTTTGAAAAATCTCCTGTTTTGGGCTTCAGCTCCCATAATCCCTCATCCAACATGATGGGGAGGGTATTCTTGGAGCTCTAATTTAAAAAATGTAGCTGGATAGCTCAGTGGTTTAGGTATCTGGCTGCTTTGTCAGAGGTTGGGAGTTTGATTCCCCACTGTGCTTCTTGAAAAAAGAGCCAGGCTGTGTGGCCTTGGGCAAGCTGCACAGTCTCAGGGCATCCCCAAGAAGAAGGGGATAGTAAACTACTTCTGAGTACTCTGTACCTAGAAAGCCCTAAAGGGTTGCCGTAAGTCAAAATTGACCGGATGGCATGTTATTATTATTAGTCCTAGAAAGCAAGTTTTTCAAGTTCTGGGTTTGTTTGTTTATTTAATGAAAGAAGATTAGAAGCCATTGCCTTTTAGCTGACAAGTACTGTAAAACTGCCATTCACAAGTGTTTTAGCGGTGCTTGTCTTGCCCTTCAGACATCTGTCATCTTTGTATAACTCCCTAGGTATAGCTTACCCAACCCAAAGCACAGTGATGGGTGAGGCTGTTCATTTGCTGGCAACTTTTTTGATCTACAGTATGTTAAGAAAATAGTGGCACCCCTACACCCCTGTGGATGTGTGTCCTTAGGAACCTCATGATTTCTTGAGGGTTTTCTCAATAAGAAGGTGAATTACGGAGGGCATGTTTCCCTCAGAGGCAGGTTTCTCAGTATTGCCAGTTTTGCCATGTTACTGGTATGTGCTTCCACAAAAGCCAGTCTTGGGTAATACAGGTTAACAATAACTTGTCACCAACAGGTGCCAGAGCGTTCACACTATATTCTCTATTCATTTCCCCATTATACTTTCACTTCTCCCTGCTGCACAGTATTGTGTTAGTGGGAACACCTAAGGTATATGAGTTAAATGAAAAGCATGAATCCTCCACACCTAAATTCCAATTGTGTAGCCCACCAATCAGAGGAGCCTTTTGAGGAGGAGGGAAGTTTGTCTTCTCATGTTCTTAGTCTGAAGGTGGGTGAAGTGTGGTCTTCAAGATATTGTTGGCACTGATAGGAACTAATATAGTAAAATAATTCTCAGTCAAGTGGGCGTTTTCTAACAGAAAGGTACACCTTAATTCCATTTACTTTTTTAATGAAAGTAAGTAAGTTAAGCTTGTATTTTTGCATAAATGTTTCTCCAAAATAGTTATTATTTAGTGTTATCATGGTGTTCTTTCTTAAGTTTTAAAGTTGACCTTATTGTTACCAGTTTCCCTCTTCCAATCTAAAGAAAATCAGACTTGATTTTTGAAGCATATTTCTAATTAATGTATTAATCTTTCCTACTGATGTTCCCATCCCTGGTCATACTGCAACTCTCAGCCGCTTGAATCAGCATAGACAGTAGTGGAGAATGATGGAGGCTGAACTGCCAACAACATCTGGAAAGCAGGCTCATCCTTACAGTATCTGCCTTAAAGCATCCTTCCTCTCTCACCCCCCCCAAGGCCTTCACTGCAAGCGATACAGAAGTATTTCCCCAAGAGTAGCAAGTTTGAAAACTCATGTTTTATGTTAAGAATATTTACTTCAGCAGGCTGTTTATACAGCTTCATGTTTTGTTTCATTTCTTGTGTGTGTTTTAACTTTAGATTTCTATCGCCTTGAAGGATATAACCTTCATGACTAAAGAGAAGACAGCTCGGCTTATTCCAAATGCCATCCAGATTGCTACTGAAGGAGAGAAGGTGTGATACAATTTATATTTTTTGTTTTTTTCAGAGATGTATTTCTGTGTGAGACTATTTAAAAAATTGTCTCATTTCAAGTATAAACAGAACAGTGAACCTCTACTGATGGCACCTCTACAAGATGGCAAGTGGCTTCAATCATACATTTAGACTTCACTGAATGTGTCACTGATAGGCAACTTGTGGTTCCCCCAGATGTTGTTGAACTTTTTATTGTGAAAACTATACTCATGAATTGTAATTTTGCTCTGCAGTTTTTCTTCACTTCGTTCAGTGCCAGAGACAGAAGCTACCTCCACATATTTCGATTGTGGCAGAATGCCTTGCTGGAAAAGGTAAACTAGCATGTAGGTGGGAAAGGTCTTTATTTGCCTTTCTTGTTAATGGCTTGTTCTGACAGATATTGCTGGTGATTTAATTGTGTTGTACTTCTGGATTTCACAGTGGTGTTGTACCAGGTTTACCATTGTGCCTTTTAGCCATGCCCATCTCTACAGATATTTAGCAACTACTTCCAGCTGGCATCAACACATTAATACCATGTTTCCCTGAAAATAAGACAGGGTCTTATATTTATTTTTGCTCCAAAAAACCTATTAGGGCTTATTTTCAGGGGATGTTTTATATTTTGCATGTACAGCAATCTACATTTATTCAAATACAGTCATGCCATCTTCTTCTGGTTGCTGCACAATGGTAGAGGGCGGGGTTTTACTTAACTGGGCTTATTTTTTGGATAGGGCTTATATTACGAGCATCCTGAAAAATCATACTAGGGCTTATTTTCAGGTTAGGTCTTATTTTCGGAGAAACCGGGTAAGATAAATATTATTATAAAATTGCAGTTTATGATAAGTGGATGAATATGGATATGTGGAAGACTGGTTTAGTTTAGAAAAGTAAAAAGTTAAGCTTGAATTTGAGGGACATTTCGGAGAATCTGTTGGAATAAGAGAAGAACTCTCTGGTTATGTCAGTGCCAGTGCAGATTAAGGCCCTGGACATAACAGTGGACCCATGGACCTTGATGAGGACTTTGAAGTACTCTGTGAGATTTGGTTTACAAAATAAACCTGGTCTAGGAAAACATGGAGTAATCAGGAAAACCATTGCCTTGATATGATAGAAGCGTGACTATGGAAAACATAAGATGTTTTGAGAGGTCATTGGTGTGTACTTTGCTGCCGATGTGTGTGCCTTGCAGCTTTTAATGCTAGTAGGCTCTGTGAAATCATGAGCATCTTATTTTACTTTTCTCTTTGCATCAGATGAAGATCAGACAAGAAATCAGCTTTGTACAAAGAGTGTATCTATACTCCTCGTTAAATTATGTATATTAATTTTTTGACAAATCAATTCTGACTTAGGGTGACCCTTTTCAGGATTTCCTTGGTAGAGAATACTTAGAGGTTGTATGCCATTCCCTTCTTCTAGGGCTATCCTTGGACTGTGCAATTTGCCCAAGATCACACAGAGTGGCTTTACTCACAAGGAGGCACAATGGGGAGTCGAACTCTCAACTTGTGGATACAAAACCTGATACTTAAATCACTGAGCTATCCAGCTAGTTAAAAACTATGTAAAGTTTAGGCTTTTTTTAAAAAAAATGCTGATAGTTGCCATTATATTTCAACTATTCCTATATGTTCAAGATTGGTTTGATGGAAATGATCAGGAAATTGCATATTTTCTTGAATTAAAAAATCAACTACATAAAGTTTATCAGCTCAACAAATCACTTCCAGTAAAACTGCTTTCAAGAAAATTCATTACAAGTTGCAATCTGAATTGTAAGAGATACAGAACACATGGCTCAGCAGGAAGGCAGAGGAGAGTCTGGACTTTGTGAATTGAGGAGAAACTGAGAAATTGTTTGAAACTTTCAGAACAATCTATGGCTCCCAACCTGTGGCCATGTTCACCTTCCTCAGCTCTGACAGCTCCTGACTCACCACAAAGAAGTTTTGAAGGTGCTCAATATTATGGTGAACAAAAGAAACAAATCAAGGATACACTGAAGACAATACTAAAAGTCTTTAATATGGACCATTTTAACTGAGAAGCAGTCACTGAAGACTAAAATGTCAAACAGCTTCATGATTTAGGAGAGAGAAAGTAAAGTTTTAAGATTGAGCAGCAGCACATTGATGGACACACAGATGACTAACTGGCCCACTATGAGCCCAGAAAAAATATAAATTTAAGGGAGCTTCCTCCTCTTTTCGCTTCCCTTGTTCTCTGTATGGTGTTTTCAGTGTATACATACAAAGTTCCACAAGTTTGTAAAACTTGTCCTCTAGAATTTAATGAGTTCTTACATTTTCAGAGATGCTGCTTTATTAGTGGACACTGAAAAACACAAGGTCAGAATTAATAGTTACAATGGACATTCATGAAAACAGTTTGCAGACGAAGATCAGAGCCTTAAAAAGCATTCACACTAAATGAAAGTTTAAAAGTTTGTTTAAAAAAAGCTTTCATGGCAGAAACAACTTCGTTGGCAAGATTTATGTCAACATGTATAGTCTCCAGATAATGCAAAAAATGAAAAGCTTGAAGAATTCCAGGCTGCTAGAGTAGAAATACTTCAACCAAGGCAGTTTGGGAGGGTTCTGTGTGATGTGGGGAGTGAGATAGGCATTGCAGTGACTAGAGTAGTATATAAACTTTGTACAGATTGGCTATCAGGATAGGTAAAAGAACTGCAACAACACTGTTTGTTTGAGCACAAAGTGTTATGAAAAATGGCTTCATTTTTTTCTGTCAGGAGAGAATCCATTGGATTGTTTGTTTATAAAGATCCTACTCCTATAGCATTTCAGCTATTTTTTTCCTGCATGTATTGGGCCTTTTTTGTTGCTTCCTATACATGTCTACTATTATAATGTTGTTGGTGGTTGAAGGCTTTTCCCCTTAGAGGGAAAATGTTTATCATTTTGATTGAGGAAATTGAGGAGACCTGGCCTAACTGATTGAGCAGCATTCCTCTGAATATCAGATTATTTTGAAAACAATAGTAGGAGAAAGCTCTTGCCCCCATTTCTTGTTCACAGTGGTGTTGTACCAGGTTTACCATTGTGCCTTTTAGCCATGCCCATCTCTACAGATATTTAGCAACTACTTCCAGCTGGCATCAACACATTAATACCATGTTTCCCTGAAAATAAGACAGGGTCTTATATTTATTTTTGCTCCAAAAAACCTATTAGGGCTTATTTTCAGGGGATGTTTTATATTTTGCATGTACAACAATCTACATTTATTCAAATACAGTCATGTCATCTTCTTCTGGTTGTTGCACAATGGTAGAGGGCAGGGTTTTACTTAACTGGGTTTATTTTTTGGATAGGGCTTATATTACGAGCATCCTGAAAAATCATACTAGGGCTTATTTTCAGGTTAGGTCTTATTTTCGGAGAAATAGGGTAAGATATATATTATTGAAAAAATAGCAGTTTATGATAAGTGGATGTGTGGAATATGGATGTGTGGAAGACTGGTTTAGTTTAGAAAAGTAAAAAAGTTAAGCTTGAATTTGAGGGACATTTCGGAGAATCTGTTGGAATAAGAGAAGAACTCTCTGGTTATGTCAGTGCCAGTGCAGATTAAGGCCCTGGACATAACAGTGGACCCATGGACCTTGATGAGGACTTTGAAGTACTCTGTGAGATTTGGTTTACAAAATAAACCTGGTCTAGGAAAACATGGAGTAATCAGGAAAACCATTGCCTTGATATGATAGAAGCGTGACTATGGAAAACATAAGATGTTTTGAGAGGTCATTGGTGTGTACTTTGCTGCCGATGTGTGTGCCTTGCAGCTTTTAATGCTAGTAGGCTCTGTGAAATCATGAGCATCTTATTTTACTTTTCTCTTTGCATCAGATGAAGATCAGACAAGAAATCAGCTTTGTACAAAGAGAGGAGAGTGTATCTATACTCCTCGTTAAATTATGTATACAGTGGTGCCTCGTTTAACGAGCGCCCCGTTGAGCGATTAAATCGCTTAACGAGGGGCTCTGGGCCATCGCTGGAGCATTCGCTCAGCGATGGCCCCTATGGCGTTTTTTCGCTTTGCGATATTCGCTAAGCGATTCGCTTAGCGAATATCGCATAACGAAGCGGGGGAGAACAGCTGATCGGCGGTTCCAAAATGGGCGCCGGAAGGTCCGCGCTGCATTTTCACGCCCTGCCCTCGCTTACCGAGGGCGCGAAAATGGTGGCGCTATGGAGGAAGATCGCTTAACAGTGAGTTTTAAAGCCATAGGAACGGGCCCAAATGGGCTTTTTTTTTCTATGGCTTTTTTATTTCCGTTTAGCGATGTTTCGCTATAGCGAAGGTTAATCCGGAACGGATTAACCTCGCTATGTGAGGCACCACTGTATTAATTTTTTGGCAAATCAGTTCTGACTTAGGGTGACCCTTTTCAGGATTTCCTTGGTAGAGAATACGTACTTAGAGGTTGTATGCCATTCCCTTCTTCTGGGGCTATCCTTGGACTGTGCAATTTGCCCAAGATCACACAGAGTGGCTTTACTCACAAGGAGGCACAATGGGGAGTCGAACTCTCAACTTGTGGATACAAAACCTGATACTTAAATCACTGAGCTATCCAGCTAGTTAAAAACTATGTAAAGTTTAGGCTTTTTTTAAAAAAAATGCTGATAGTTGCCATTATATTTCAACTATTCCTATATGTTCAAGATTGGTTTGATGGAAATGATCAGGAAATTGCATATTTTCTTGAATTAAAAAATCAACTACATAAAGTTTATCAGCTCAACAAATCATTTCCAGTAAAACTGCTTTCAAGAAAATTCATTACAAGTTGCAATCTGAATTGTAAGAGATACAGAACACATGGCTCAGCAGGAAGGCAGAGGAGAGTCTGGACTTTGTGAATTGAGGAGAAACTGAGAAATTGTTTGAAACTTTCAGAACAATCTATGGCTCCCAACCTGTGGCCATGTTCACCTTCCTCAGCTCTGACAGCTCCTGACTCACCACAAAGAAGTTATAGATTTTGCAGAGGTGGTCTGAGCATTTTCAAAATGTGTTGAACAGACCAGACTATATGACATTAGCAAGGAGGCAATTAGCAGGCTGCCACAAGTGGCAGTCAACAGTTTGATGGTTCTTCTTCGTGGCTTCTTGGGTGATGCGCGCCTGCGCGGAGCCTCATCGGAAAGTTCTAGAGCTTCTGCGGTAGCAAAAAAACACATTAGAATAAGCCCCCCATACCTTGGCACCAAGGCTCCCCTTTCACTTTCTTTCAACCGCCGCATTGAGAGCCTCATAGTTCTGCTTCTGTGAGTAAAAGAGAGAGTTTATTTTT